GCAGGGCACTGTCTATCACTCAGGAAACCGTGAATTATAGTGCTCTGCACCTGTTAACATTCCCTTGTGTTATTCCACACCCATTGTAGACTTTATATGCCCCTTTGACTAGCTCACAACTATCAAATCCTAATCACAGAACATTCTTACTTCACTGTAATCCTCCAATTTTCTTGACACTTGTAAATATTTCTACAGCTAACATTCATATTCATAGCATTCTATCTTACATTTTATCATATACCTTCATATGTATATCATATATTAGTAAGTTTGGCTATCTTTCCTATCCTGCTTCTTGAGGCTAGTCCATTCTATATATAGAATGGAAAAATATAGTAACATAATAATTACTTGTCTGTATCTATCGATATTTAAATACTTCCATAGATACTATAACTTACTCCCATTTTGTAGCTGAGCAGAAAGCAGTTCATGGAGGTTAATTGACTTGTCCATATAAGGTAGCCAGTACAGGGCAGAGGAAGTCCCCAGTTTCTGTACCTAGGCCATTTCCTATACTTCAAGCTCACTATTTTCTTTCATTTCCAATTACTTTCTCCACATATATATAAAAAGCCCAGCACTACAGCACAAAGTGCTGTGTAGATATTAGCATTTTTCTTTTCTATTTCTTCAGAATGCTGAAGTACTGTCATTAAATAGGACTTTGGGTTTGACTTTGCTTTGGATAATACACCAGTTAAGAAATGCAAGCTTCAATCATATAGGATAATAGATGATCGGCTGAAGAGAGAAATTGATTTTAAAGTTGTAATTTACTTGAAGTGTTTGATGATCTCATAAAATACAGGCACAAAATTGAAGTTATTTAGTATTTCATGGCTCTCTTAAAGCTTGAATTACTACTTCAGTGCCAAAGTCCTCACAAAAGAGCCACAGGTTCCTGTATTACAGACTACATATTTATTGCAGTGTAAATATATTTCCTTGTACAGAAGCTTTTCCTTTATCCTCTTCATGTCTTATTCATAATATTTCTCTCTCTCTCGTATTTCAAAAATTACCCAATCCCATGTTGTTTGGCTGCCTGGTCATGTTCTACATTTCTGTCAAAAATGGCTCTGTTTAGGGAAGTGAAAATTACGCTACATGTATCTTTAGCTATCAGCCACTTCCCTTTAACACATTTCTAGTTTTGTATTATTATATAGGACTTAATAATTTACCTTCATCATTTACCATTATTGGGCATATTTAATCAAGGACAGTAACATCCAGAAAGAGAACTTTTTTTTTTATTAAAAGAGAGTGAAATAGTAGCGTAACAAGCTTGCAGGGTTGCCCTAGTGCAGTGGCTTTCTATCCAAGAAGCATAATAGACAAAATAAATCAGAATCTCTGGAGGAAACAGATATTTAAGCTCCCCAGGTTATTTCAATGTGCAACTAATTACAAGGACCATAGCTTTAGTGAAATCCCTTTATCTGAAATATGAGAACATTGGAAAGCACTACCCCTCCATCCATGTATGCGTGTGGAGATGTATAGGTAGGTATGTAGGTAGGTATGGTAGATAGATAGATAGGTAGATAGATAGATAGATAGATAAAGTCAAAATCAAATTAAAATATGTTTTATACCTCTTAATTGGTCCAAATCTATAAAAGTAAAACGAATGTGATTAATTATAATTTACCCAGTGTTTTACTTGGGGCTAATATGTTGACTATATCTTCTATAGATATCTAGAAGTATGAATGATGTAGATGATGTGGATCATATATATAAATTTTTTACAACTAAATTTGTATACATCTTCTGCATTCTTCTTAGTGATATCTAAAGGCCAATTTTAGAAAGAATAATTATTTAAATTATCAAGTTTGTAAAAGCATATATAGTAAATAAAAGTAATTAGGACTTTGTTTTGTTGCTGTCATAGTGATGATGATGGTTTCTGAAGTATTGTTAGGCTGTGCTTAAAAATAGAATTTTAAAATCACAAAGGTATTGAATTTAAATGCTCATTGTAATGATAATACTTACATAATATTTATATACATTAGTACCAATTTAGTGAATAATTTAGCAGTATTCTGGTACTCAGCAACTAACTGCATACAAATTTATACTAACATTATAAATTTGATATTTGGCGGGCTGGCAAAGAGACTAGGTCTGTTTCATGTCACTAATCTATGAAGGATCATCTATAAATTCTGATAATAAATCTTTCCATTTGTGATGGGATTTTGAAGCCAAGAAAGAAAGAACTACTTTGCAAAACCTATTTTTTAGAAATAATGAAGATTCAATAAGAATAAAAATAAATATGCAGTGAGAATTAAAATGATGATAGGAAACCAGTATCATTTATACTCCTATTTCATAAGGATGTAAAATCAATGCACAAAAATCAGTTGCACTTTTATATACCAATAACATTCAATCTGAGAACCAAACCAAGAATTCAATCCCATTCACAATAGCTTCAAAAAAAAATTAAATACCTAGGAATACATTTAATCAAGGAGATGAAGATCTCTACAAGGAGAACTAGAAAACACTTATAAAATAATTCATAGATGATGCAAATGATAAAAACACCCCATGCTCATGGATTAGGAGAATCAATGTCATTCAAATCTCCGTATTGCCCAAAGTAATAAACAGATTCAACACAACTCTTATTAAATTATCAATTGACACTTTTCACGGAATTAACAAAAATAATCATAAAATGTATATGGAATAATAAAAGTCCAAATAGCCAAAGCAATCCTAAACAAAAGAACAAAGCCAGACGCATCACATTATATGACCAAGTTACACTACAAGGCTACTGTAACCAAAATAGCATGGTGCTGGTATAAATATAGACACTCAGATCAGTGGAACAGAACAGAGAATCCTGAAATAAAGACACCCATCTACAACCACTGGTCTGCAACAAAGTTGATGATAACACAGTGAGGAAAACATACTTAACCCAATAAATGGCACTGGGAGAATTGGATAGTCATATGCAGAATAATGAAACTGGACTCATACCTTTCACTACATACAAAAATTAACTCAGGATGAATTAAAGACATAAACATGACCTGGAACTACAAAAATACAAGAAGAAAACCTATGAAAAACTCTTCTGGACATTGGCCAAGGCAAAGAATTTATGACTAAAACCTCAAAAGCAAATGCAACGGAAGCAAAAATAAACAAACAGGGTTTAGTTACACTAAAAATCTTCTGCACAGTTAAAGAAATAACAGAGCAAACAGACAACCTACAGATTAGCAGAAAATATTTGCAAACTATGCATCCTACAAGGGATTAACATCCAAAATTTACAAGAAATTCAAACAAGTCAATAGGAAAAAAAATAACCCCTTTAAAAACTGGCCAAAGGACATGAACAGACATTTCCCGAAAGAAGATATACAAACAGCCAACAAACATATGAAAAAATGCTCAACATCACTAATCATCAGAGTAGTGCAAATTAAAACCACAATGTGATGCCATCTCACACCTGTCAGAATGGCCATTATGAAAAAGTCAAAAACAACAGATATTGGCAGGGATATGAAGAAAAGGAAATGCTCTATACATTGCTGGTGAGAATGTAATTTAGTTCAACCTCTATAAAATCCACTATGGTAATTTCTCAAAGAACTACAAATAGAATCACCATTTTACCCAGCAATCCTACTCCTGCATATTTACCAAAAGGAAAAGAAATCATTTTATCAAAAATGCAGCTGCACTTGTATGTTTATTTCAGCACTATTCACAATAACAAAATAGTGGAACCAACTTGTATGTTCATCAACAGATAATTGATAAAGAAAATATGCCCTATATATACCACGGGCCACTACACATCCATAAAAAGTAATGAAATAATGTCATTTGCAGCAACATAGATGGAGCTAAAGCCCATTAGCCCAAGTAAAATAACTCAGAAAAATCAAACACTGCATGTTCTCACTTATAAGTGGAAACTAAAGAGTAGGTAAAGATAGACACAAAAATGGAAATAATATACCCTGGGAACTCCAAAAGCGGGGAGGGTGGGAGGCAGTTGAGGTTTGAAAAATTACCTATTGAGTACAATGTTTACAATTTGAGTAATGGCTACACTCAAAGCCTAAACCTCACTATTGTGCAATATATCTACATAATACACTCACATGTGTACCCCTGACTCTATAAACATTTTAAAAAGGCAAAAAGCAAAAAAACTTTCAAACCAGTATGTAAAGAAAGACAATTAATAATTTACTGGAGTTATTTTAATGGTAAACATATAATCAGTAGCAAAATATGCACAATATTTGATGTAAGTTAAATAAATTGTTATGCTATAGAATTATAGACATGAACAGAATCTTGATATATCAATGATTACACCTAGTAAAAAGCTAATACTCTTCACTGACCACTGTTGATAAGACAAATTAATGAATTCAGCCAATTATTTGGCATTTATCAGATAGTAGCTGCCCAAGAATTTCCAATTTCTAAACAAGAAAGTCTGTAAATTTGTCCTATACCTATAGTTATATGTATAGGTTGAAAAAGATCATTTCAAACTGAATGCCAACTTACTCATTTGAAAACAAATAAAACTTACCCTATAAACTATGTTTTAGAAAATGCACACAGAATGCTAAAGCTATAGTGAATCTAATGTTGAGTATTGTTCCTCAAATCCAAGTTATAAAGTTATTTCACTTTTGCTGCTTTGGGTGCAGAATGGACTGCACCCATACACACATGAAAGTTCGCTTCCCCACATACACCGCATGAAGAAATGTGTAAATCATATTATGGACAGGCCATTCAATTTTTATTCTCTCTGTCTCCCTATGTCCCTCTCTGTCTCTTTCTCTCTCTTTCTGCTAGACCATAAACAACTTGTTTTACAGTGGTGCTTGTTTACTGACCTTTTCTACACTAACATATTTTGCCTATGTTATTCAAAGAATCTAAGGTCTTCTGAAAAAGACTTTTGTTACAGAGACAGTACATGCATGCTTTGTTTAGCTTTGCATGTTAGCCGACTTTGTTAATTCACCTATCTTTAGAGACACATTTATAATAGAAAATTTAATTTGATGATTAAAAAATTGGTGAAATACTTGTAGACTTTTGTAATTGGATTTTATAGTTTCATCTAAGAACTCACTGAAAATATTTTGAACTTCATGAAGAGATTTTTAAATGGCTTTTGAAAGCCACTTAAAAGCCTTATTTTCCCAAATGAATTAGTGTTTGGTGTGCGGATGAGGAACTTTGCTATTACCCTGTGAGCATTACCCGACAAGAAAGAATCAGATGAGAGATTGAATCTGAAGCTTGTTCAGATGAACTTTTGAGGTGAGTTGGTTACACAAAATTTCTATTATTTTATTAAGAAATATACGCATAATAACCTATCCTAGCAGAAATCACAGTAAACAGTTTTTGGCCCTTTATGACTATACATCTACGAGTTGGAAATCTCAAGATATAGCAACATAACTATAGGACAGAATTAAATTCTTGTGTTAGAATTTCTAATTTTTAACTAGGTGATATCAAGCAATTATCAATTGCTTTGACTGTTTATTTTCAGCCTCATGCTTTTCTTTAAAATTATTTTCAGATGTGTTCTTTGCAAACTAGGCCAAGACTTTCATTTTGTAATCCATCTCATTTTAATATGTCTTTAATTTAATTATATGATTTGATCTTCTATTTTAAATACATAATTTTTAAATTGCATTATTTTACTTTTCAGTTGGCAAGTGATGTGGGAATTTTTTTTTTGTTTTTGACAGAGTCTTACTCTGTTGCCCAGGCTGGAGTGCAGTGGCACTAACATGGCTCACTGCAACCTCTGCCTCTGGGGTACAAGGATTCTCCTGCCTCAGCCTCCCAAGTAGCTGGGACTACAACCATGTGGGACCATGCCCTGCTAATTTTTTTTTTTTTTGTATTTTTAACAGAGATGGGATTTCACCATATTGGCCAGGCTAGTCTTGAACTCCTAACCTCAAATGATCTGCCTGCCTTGGCCTCCCAAAGTGCTGGGATTACAGGTGAAAGCTATCGTTCCCAGCTGGGAATTTCTTTAAATGAAATGAGATAATTCTCCATATTTTCTAAAATTTTGAGACACAAGTGGATTTAAATAAGTAATAGCAACAGTGCTGTGTAGAAACATCATATAGTTAAGATGGCATAAAAATGACTGGAGTTAAATATTGCTTAGACCACTGCCTCTTATTCTCCATGCCACTTATTTTATTTGACTTACTTTCTTAAAATATTATCCCCTTCTCAAATATGAAAAACACTCTATGAATAGAAAGATACCAGACTAGTAGAAGTACAGCAGATAGAATTAGCTATCTATCTGTTTACCTGATTAGCAGTGGTTGTTTCTCCAATTTGGGGAAAAAAAAACAGTGGGGAATGATAAAAAGAAAAAACTTCTCACTTTCACTGAAGCCTGGTTGAATTTATTCCGTTTCTCCACAGCCCCTACACCATCCCATGAAGTTCTATCTTCATAATAATGTACTCTGTCTGATTTAGTCACTGAACTTCTAAATAAATATTGACTAGCAAAATTTTGTAAATGTTATTCATTTTAAATCATAAAAAAGTGGCTGGGCGTGCTGGCTCACGCCTGTAACCCCAGCACCTTGGGAGGCTGAGCCAGGCGGATCATCTGAGGTCGGGAGTTCCAGACCAGTCTGACCAACATGGAGATATCCTGTCCATACTAAAAATACAAAATTAGCCGGGCATGGTGACACATGTCTGTAATCCCACCTACTTGGGAGGCTAAGTCAGGAGAATCACTTGAACGTGGGAGGCATAGATTGCGGTGAGCATCTATGTGCAATGACCCAGCCATTGCACTCCAGCCTGGGCAGCAAGAGCGAAACTCCGTCTTAAAAAAAAAAAAAAAAAGTAAATAAAAGTAAAAATAAATAAAATAAAATCATAAACAAGTGAAGCTAATATAATGAACAACATGTACCACTGCTATATTTCCTTTACATTTTCTGTCAGCTAATAAAATGACATGACACAAATACAGCTGTTGTTGAAAAATACTTTGTAGCCCCATTTGTAACATATTTTGAATTTCTACTAATTCATTCCTCTCTCTCTAAAGGAAATCAATTTCTGTGTATTTTAAGCATCTATATATCTGTACTAATGCATTTATTATGTACAATAGTATTATGTTTTTAACATTTACATAAATCTATCACACTATTCATGATGCTTCTGACTTTCTTTTATTCAAGAAATATGATGTTTTAGATTTAGTTATGTAGAGAAATACAGTTTTTAAGTTGTAAGTACCGTATTGATTCAATGAATGAATATTCTATATTTTATTTATGTTTTCTTCAACTGGTGGGCTACACTGTGTTGTTTCCCAATGTTCAATAGCATCAGTAATTGTGAAGATACTCTGAAAAATTTGATGGAGTTCTTTTAATGATAAACATAAATCAGTATTTCAAAATCATAAGCACATTTCATGGTTATTTTTGTGCGTGTATATTTTTGTGTATATGTAAACATTTATCTAAGACAGATTCATAAAGGGAACGATGGATAGTGTTTTGGTCCTTCTGCTCCTTAGCTCAGCTACGTCTACCTTCTTGTCTCACAACCAAGAAGCATTAGGTGAGCAGACACCGGAGAGTGAGTAGCCTAACATTCGCTAAGCAAAAGGAAAGCTCTCAGCAAAGTGGGGTGGTTCCCCTACCCGAAGGCGGGAAAGTCTCCTGTGTGGCTGGTTCTGGGGCCTCTTATGGACTCCTAAGAGTGCTGATTAGTTTCTGAGTATGCAAAAAAATGTTAAAGTGAAAACACGACTCAAAGGTGGGCATGACAGTGTAGAAAACCAATTAGGAAATGATAGATATATGTAAAATTGTAAAATAGGTGAAGGGTGGGGATCAGTCAGGGGAAAGCATGTCAAAAAGGACGACAAGTTCTCAATCCATTCCGAGGATTTAACTTGTAGCTTGGATTTCAGGCTTTAAATTGCCTTTAACGTGGAGGTGGAATTTTACCAGGGTCCTGCCCCTGTCTGCCTAGGCATTTGGTTGCCTCCTACAACTCTCAATAGGCAATTAAATATTTTAATCTTAAAGTTTAAAATAAATTGCCAAATTGTTATCAAAACTGAATTGGTCTTTATATCCTATTCTACTGTAAGAGAGCTCCACCTTTCCAGTCCTTAATACAAAGTGACAATGTCAGTCTTTGCAATTTCACTAATCTGATAGATATGAATTTGTTTTATGCTTTCTTGATTCCTAGTCAAACGCACTTTTCACATGCACGTTGGCTATTTTAGTCTTCCCTGTTAGTCATATCTTATATGACTTTATATATTTTGTATATTTCTCCATTTAGGCTGTAGACTCTGTTTTAAATGAAATAAATTTTTGTAAATTCTGATTATTCAATTTTGTTGGTTATGTACACTGAAAATATATTTTTCCCACTGTGGCATTTTTCTAACCTTAATTTATATTTTGCCATATAATAAGTTTTAAACTTTAGTCTGATCAAGTTTTTTTTTTTTTTTTTAATGGGTTGTACTTTTGTGTCATTGATAAATGCTTTTCCATCCCTAGAGGACATGAAAACGTACTACTATGAATACTTATAAAAGTTTCAAAATTTTTATTTTACAAATAGTTTTATAATCTATCTGGATTTTTTTGTATTTTATGAGGTGGCAGCATAATTTTCATTTTCATATGGAGATTCTATTTTTGTATTCAATTTGTTGAATACTTGAATTCATCCCCACTGATTTGTCATGCCCCTTTCCTTCTCTGTCACAATTGTCCTTAAATGTTTGTGTCAGTTTATTTTGGTCTTTATTTTTTAGTATTGGTGTGTTAGCTTTTCACTTTGTCAACTCCACAGTATTTTTTAAAATAAATGCATTATGTCTATAACTTCAATAATTCTAGTAATTGTTAAGAAAAGCTCTGTTTTTCTCATGTTTCTTCTTAAAATATAATTTTGGTTACTTCTAATTCTGTACTCTTCTCTATATCACTGTGATCAGCTTAATATTTTATGTCTTTACTGAATCTGCTTGAAATTAATATATAAATTTGAAAAAAGCTGATGTGGTTATTTATGATATGATTGATGTGCTGCATGTGATGTGATTTTATGTATTCTCATCCATGCAGACAGCATTGTCAGTTGCCTCCTCCTGAACTTGCAGTACAAAACTAAGTCTTGTATTTATGGGTCAGAGATCCTGTAATATAATGATATTAGAGATACTCTAAATCCAGTTGCTAGATTGTCCTTTCAGTAGGTGCCTTGTCTATCTTGACTGCATGTTTGCATATGTTTACTCCAACTTCTCTTTAAGCCCCTTTATATAATCCAAAAACACATGCTGTGTTTCTCAGCTTCTTTCAAAATGAATATACAGCTTCAAATTTTAAGCAATGAAGCTGATGTTGTTCACTATCTTGAATCAACAACTTTTGTTTTTTTTTCTTTTTATTTTCAGCAGCTACCCCTCAATTATATTTACAAAATAAAAGACCACTGTCAATCAGCTTCAGTTCTAGGAACCCTTTCGTTTATAATCTATGTTCTGTTCTTTCACATGTATATTTTGTTATTGAATGTAGATAATTTAATTCATTTTAGTTTAATATTTGGTCTGAGAATTTCAAAATATTAATTGACAATACTGTATTGACCAGAAATCCACTGCTAATAATCTTTAAAAGTTTTAGAAATGAGACATTTTATATTTGTTTTTTTGTTTTGTTTTCAAAGGAAGTTAGGAGAAGCTATATTAGGGCAGTCATTAACAAAATCAGTTGAATTACATGACTGAGAAAATATTACTAAAAAGATACATATAGTAAGTATAATGAATCTATGACCTATATTCTGATGAAATTTAATGATAAAACTTTGTTTGCTCATTTATTACAATATCAGTGGTGATTGGAACTCATCAGAGATTCTTAAACTGCTATTCCTTTAAATAAAGAAGTTAATTAGTTTACTTGAAGTTCTTTTTACTAACAATTAAAATTTGGTAAAGATAATTTGTGTGCTCAATAGCTCACAATTACATTTATTTTTAGTTGTAACAAAAATAGTCTGAAGGCTTTGCCTTGAGGAATTTAAATCGAATTAAAGTTAAATAGGAATTAAAGTTATATTTGGCAATAATGATGTCAGGGAAGTATAGCCATAGCTATAGTTTTTGACATCAATGTGGATATATGAATAGATCTATAACTGGAATACACACAGATAGATGCACAACAAATTTTTAAAAAAATTATGACATTATAGTCCTCATTTAT